ATGCAATAATAAAGATTTTGCTCAAAACGTTGCCGCACATTTTGCAATATTTGAGGAGTAATTTGAAGGCACTCATTCACAATTCTTTGTCGCAGGTCTTCTAATGATGTTGGCTGAGTAGCATAGATTTTGCTTTTTAAATGACCCCACATAAAGAAATCCGAAGGTGATAAATCTGCCGATCATGGGGGCCATTCAATGGAACCTCTTCTACCAATCCATCGATCTGGAAACGTCTGATCCAAATATTGTCGAACACGTAATGCGTAATGTGGTGGGGCACCATCCTGTTGGAACAGCAACATATTCGCGATGTACCGCCGATCATTCTGATTTTCAATTATGGTTGTTAATGCAGGATCTATGGCATCTTCCAGTAATTCCAAATACATTTCACCGGTCAAATTTCCAGGTAAGAAAAAAGGACCAACTTAATAATCGCTAAAAATACCAGCCCAAACATTTAATTTTTGTGGCTGCTGTGTATGAACCTCATGATAAATTCTGGGATTAGAATCGGACCAATATCGGCCGATATGACGATTTACTACGCCATTTAAGAAAAAGGAACATTCGTCGGAAAAGCAAGTGTTGAATAGAAAATGTTCATCGTTTATAATTCGTTCACTCATATCTTCACAAAATTGTAATTGCCGATCAAAATCGTCTTCATTAAGTTCTTGTACCAGGTGAATTTTATATGGATGAAAACTATGGGCCTTTAGAATCCGTTGGACAGTACGTCGACTAACACCACACACACACGCACACAATAATTGTAAACAACTTAGAACTAGTAAATTCAAGCCATACGGTGTATGATGTAAATGCTGGGCAACCTATCATTGTAGATTTAACAAGTGATTTCTCAATTTTACTTTAAATTTTGTCAAAGTTTTCTGGTCTTTTATCTCCGAGTATAATTTATTATATTCAATCAACCCTTGATGGAATACAGATTTGTAGCATATGTTATACTTTTTGGTCATTAAATGGAAGTTATCTTTATTTCTGGTATTATGTAAATGATGGTCGACATTTGATGATGTTAAATTAGTTAGACTTGATGGAAATATATTATTTTTTACTTTATAAATGAATATCATTACAACATATTTGATAAAAATGTTTACATTGAGCCATTTTAATTTGCTAAGCATTTGCCTAATTGGAGTATATTTATCTTTATTTAGTATTATTCTGATGCACTTATTTTGTAAAATTTGCAGTCTTTCAAAATGGAATTATTTGCTAAATATAGAATAGTCGAACAGTACAAGAAATTTGGAAGAATGATGGTATTATAGATAATTTTTCTGGTATATGAACTCAGACATCCAGAAATCCTCGATAAATATCCCACTTTACTACTAATCTTATTTATAACTTTTTCATAATGAATATCAAAAATTAATCGAGAGTCAACAAAAACCCCCAGGTATTTAAAATTTTCTACGAATTCAATATCTTCACCATCAATATTCAGTTGAACATTTGTACATTGTTTTTTTTCCGATTAACAAGGCTTTCGTTTTTCTTGCATTTAATTTTAGTCTGTTAGATGCTAACCATTTTGAGACTGAATATTTTTAGTACTTATATAAATCATAGTGTCATCGGCAAAAATCTGAATTTTTCATTTTTTGACTATGGCAGGTAAATCATTTATGTATAAAATAAAAAGAAGTGGTCCCAGGATACTGCCCTGTGGAACACCCAACGTATTTTCAATTTTTGATGAAATAGTGTCATTAACTTTTGTAACTTGCATCCTTTTAGACAAATAATTTCTAAACCAATCTAAAACACTTCCTGTTATACCATATGCCTTTAATTTACCTAACAAAATATCTCTATCGATCGTTTCAAATGCCCTCTTCAAATCCAAAAATACTGCTATGACAACTTCTTCTGAGTCTATGGCTCTTCTCTAATTCTCAGTTGCCAACTGGAAAGCTGTTTCTGTGGAATATTTTTTTCGAAAGCCTGCTTGCGCCTCCACTAAAATTTTGTTTTCTTCTATAAACTGCATTAATTGGTCATGCACTAAGGACTCTAATAATTTTTCAATGTCTGGTAACACATTTACTGGTCTCATATCACTGCATCTTTTAGAATTTTTTATTTTGGGAACTGGTGTTATTGTAGAGCATTTCAAATTTTCAAGGAAAGAACTGCTTCTCAGTGAACAATTGATCCAATTTAATACAGGATATCCCAAAATTTCGAAACAGTTTTTCAGCACGTTTTTAGTAGTGATTTCGGCACAGTTGTTATTTGATTTTAAGCTGTTTACTTTTTTCTTAGATAATTCAATGATACGCTGTGAAATTTTGAAAGTGTATGCAACATTTCCCCCTGGAAACTGATTTTCATATAGTCAGGTGCAGCATTGGCAGTACCCACAATATCAACAATACTTTCCACAAAATATTCATTTAGTCTGTTTACAATCACCAAAGAATTTGTTTCGGTACCGTTTTCGAATTGAACTTGATTTACACAATCATGCGGCTTCGAATTGATCAGTCTTTTTAAAGTCTTCCACATCTTTACACTGTCGCACTTGTTATTATCGATTTGTTTATCGTAGAATTTCCTTTTTTCTTCTCTAATTACATATACACATTTATTCCTAAGAGTTTTATATATCTCCCAATCATAATTTGATTTTGTGAATATACATTTATTGTATTGTTTGTCTCTCAAATTTTGAGCTGCCTTAATATTCTTGTTATACCAGGGTGTTTTTTTGTCGAGCAAATCACTTTTTTATCAGTTGCAAGATCTAAACAAGTTTTTATGTTTTTCCTATTATGTTGTTATATATGTTTTCCATATTCTCACCAAAATTCCAATAGCAGCCAGCAAGTTCTCGTTCAAGTTTTTCGTACTTAATAGTATTTACGATTTTCTTAATTTTTGTATCAGAAAAATGCCCTACCAAAAGCAGCATTGTCCAACTGTGATCGCTAACTTTAGGTGTATGTACAGCTTTAATCCCTGCACATTCGAAATTTACAATAACAAGATCTAACAAAGTCTCTGATAATGATGTTATTCTGGTACTCTCTTCAATTTTTTGCTTGAATCCATAGTTGTTTATGGTTTCTTTCAATTTTCTTGTTTTCGTGCTTTTATCATAATAATTTAAATTAAAATCACCTAAAAGTATTATATTGTTTCTAAAATTCCACATTTCTTCGCATTTTTCTTCAAAAAACGTTAAAAATGTATCCGCATCACTGTTTGGTGAACGGTAAAAAGTACAAAGATCATAACGTTTCCCAAATAATTTGAACTGTATATGTGCATACCAGTATACATAGTCTAAAGTGGTATAATCGAATAATGTGATCTGTATTTTGTGGTAAACATAAATCACTACACCTCCAGTATGTCTTGAGTTGGAGTTGCATCTGTAGGTTTTATAATTAGTAATTTGTAATTCACCATCAGTGATGTCTTCTGTAGCATGTGTTTCGGTAAGACATAATACAAGTGGTTTTCTCCATCTTAAAAACTGTTGAACTTCATCTATATTATTCAAGACTCCTTGTATGTTTAAATGGTATATTTAGTTATATTCATCACTTACAGATTTAGCCGCGTCTTGCAAATCTACTTTTTTCCCTCTCACGTTCAATTTTCCTTTTATATACTTCACAATTTTTGTCAAATGGTCCATGATTAATAGGTAATCCTAGATTAAAATCCTGGTTTGCACTTTCACAATTTGGACAGCATTTGTACATTTCACTGGTACTGCAGTTTTCTGTTGAATGTCCTTCTAATCCACAAGTAATACATCTTCCTGATTTTGTGCAGTATTTAGCTGTGTGGTTAAATCCGGTACATTTATAGCATCGCAAAACATTGATGCACTCGAAAACAGAGCAAACAGACATGTGGATAAAAATAACACCCTGATTCATAACACACTTAAAAGTCACAGCATCCACTTCTAAAATTGCTTGATATTTAGTTTTCATTTTCTTGACTGTAATTACTCTCATATGTGAATTTTCTTGAAAAGATTCATTTTGTGATTCTATAGTATTTATTAGCTCGTCTTCTGCATATTCTTGACAAAATCCAATAACTTTGATTTGTGGTTTTTTACTTATCTCTGAAGTTTTCACTGTATATGTTTCTGGCATTTTTGATTTTATTTCTTTATGTAGCTTCGCGTTATCATCTTTTGTTTTACATTGGATTTTCACCCCACCATCCTTCAATTCATAAACTTTTTCAATAGTAATTTTCAAACTGGTAGGATTCACAAATTTTGCGATGTCTTTCTTTGTGTTATTACACTCTTGTTGGTTATTAGGCTTAACAATGACTGTATTTGTGTTCTAGTAAAAAGGTGGGGAGGGGGGGGGGTTCCGCTATGCTCACAAAATATTCAGTCCTATTTTCGTCAGTGGCTGTTTTGGGACAGCCAGATCATGGAACATCCTTTACATGTCCTGTTATTTCAAATTTCCTCAAAACAGAAGACCTTGTTATTAGATTCCGGTTGGGGTATTTGTCATTAAAAATATCGCACTTCCTGCAGCGAGCGTCGACGATCGCTATAACCCAGAATCGTTAGAATTTCTATTCTCTTGGTTTCAGTTGAATTAATAATTCTCAATAACTCTATTATCAAAACTCAATGGTCTTTTGAATGTCAGAAATGACAGGAAATTACTTTCGACAGCGGTCATTGCTTAGGTGAAAAAAAATACCTTTTTGAATAAAACGTGTAGCATTCCATGAGAAAAACAGAAGTTAGTATCAGTTTCTTAAAATCTGTAGATCTGGCAATATCGAGGATATCATCAACGGATCCGCCATGGTTTTAAACCTAAACCTATCATTTTTTTTTAAATTAGATAAGTAATTCGTCAGATATTGGATGCGTTCCAAACTTTTGTTACATACTGTATATAACTAAAAGCAATCCTAGGGTTACATGCAGGCTAAATCTTTAATCAACATCAATCGACATTTACCTGCAGGAGCTTCTACTTCTGGCAAGAGATCACTATTATCGACATCTCTAACTTCTAGCAAGTTAGAACCCCAGAGTGGTGGAGTTCTGTCATCTGGTTCCGGCATCTTGCCCAGTGGGGCTGTCGGAGGTGTTTTTCCCAGCTTCTTGTTCATTTTCTTTTTCCTTTAAAAGAAAATTAATATTCGTCAGATCTAAAATACCTCTTATTTGCATAAAATTTCACTAAGGAAAAGTTGACAAACCAAAAGTGCCGAGAAGATTCTGCTTCAATACTGTTCCTATTCAACAGTAGTAAGTATAGGCTCTTCACATATTTACAAAATTCCGAAATCATTGAGAATTTTATTTCATTATGATTAAAAATGACAATTAAACTGACAACTTCGTTTTCCTAACAACAACTTTGTGACGATTGACGTGCAAAAGGTTATTCTGATGTGCGTGCATGGTGAATTTCCATCAAAATTAAAGTGTTCGACCATTACTCCTGTGCTGAAAGTTCAACATTCTTAGCTACATAAATTAAATACGTGTGGATCGTGGGTGATTGATTGCACTAAGGAATTATCACTCGCGTTCCTATTTCTCTTATAATCGCCACAGGATGTTAGAGAAATACTTCAGTAACTTTTGTAGAGTAGCTTTTATTGAGGCATCTGCAACAGTTGAGAACAGAAGAACAAGTAACGAAATGAGTACAGAGAATAGTCAAATACCCTTTTTATATTCTAGGATTAGAGTTACGAATTTTCCAGAAATCAGTAGTGTCGGGTAAAAATGCAAGCATCTTCACATCCTGTCTCTCGAGTATGGAACGGTGTTATACTCGTAGGGATTGGGATGGTGTTAATGCTTTAAGGTAATGGCATCAGGATACCATAACTCCTCCGCACGGTGAAAAAGATTCGTCTCGAATCAGACAAAATTAAGGTATTTTCTCAGCAAGTTTAGTGCGTGGAACTTTGGTGTCCTTTACATATCGATATTTTACAAATACAATAATAAAAATGATTAAAAATATAAGAATACAAACTAAAATGATAGGATACTTTACAGTAGATCTATAATGTAAATTCTGAAAGCTGACTTGCAAAGAGGTAAGGTTTTGATGTAAATAAGATTCCAGTGAAACATTTGTTTTCTGAAACTGATATTGCGTGCCTTTTGCTGCATAAGCTAGGTCTAACTTAATCTGAAATGTGGAATCAATTTAGTAGTAGTAGTAGAAAGATTTATTTAGCACATTTGGCTACATAAACAGAATAATTGTAAACAACTTAGAACTAGTAAATTCAAGCCATATGGTGTATGATGGAAATGCTGGGCAACCTATAATTGTAGATTTAACAAGTGGTTTCTCAATTTTACTTTAAATTTTGTCAAAGTTGTCTGGTCTTTTATCTCCGAGTATAATTTATTATATTCAATCAAGCCTTGATGGAATACAGATTTGTAGCATATGTTATATTTTGGTCATTAAATGGAAGTCATCTTTATTTCTGGTATTATTTAAATGATGGTCGACATTTGATGATGTTAAATTAGTTAGACTTGATGGAAATATATTATTTTTTACTTTATAAATGAATATCATTACAAGATATTTGATAAAAATTTTTACATTGAGCCATTTTAATTTGCTAAGCATTTGCCTAATTGGAGTATATTTATCTTTATTTAGTATTATTCTCATGCACTTATTTTGTAAAATTTGCAGTCTTTCAAAAATGGAATTATTTGCTAAATATAGAATAGTCGAACAGTACAAGAAATTTGGAAGAATGATGGTATTATAGATAATTTTTCTGCTATATGAACTCAGACATCCAGAAACTCTCGATAAATATCCCACTTTACTACTAATCTTATTTATAACTTTTTCATAATGAATATCAAAAATTAATCGAGAGTCAACAAAAACCCCCAGATATTTAAAATTTTCTACGAATTCAATATCTTCACCATCAATATTCAGTTAAACATTTGTACATTGTTTTTTTTCGATTAACAAGGCTTTCGTTTTACTTGCATTTAATTTTAGTCTGTTAGATGCTAACCATTTTGAGTCAAGCTTCAAGTCTTCATTTATATAAGAGATACCGGACTGAATATTTTTAGTACTAATATAAATCATAGTGTCATCGGCGAAAATCTGAATTTTGCATTTTTTGACTATGGCAGGTAAATCATTTATGTATAAAATAAAAAGAAGTGGTCCCAGGATACTGCCCTGTGGAACACTCAACGTATTTTCAATTTTTGATGAAATAGTGTCACTTCCTGTTATACCATATGCCTTCAATTTACCTAACAAAATATCTCTATCAATCGTTTCAAATGCCCTCTTCAAATCCAAAAATACTGCTATGACAACTTCTTCGGAGTCTATGGCTCTTCTCCAATTCTCAGTTACCAACTGGAAAGTTGTTTCTGTGGAATATTTTTTTCGAAAGCCTGCTTTTGCCTCCACTAAAATTTTGTTTTCTTCTATAAACTGCATTAATATGGTCATGCACTATGGACTCTAATAATTTTTCAATGTCTGGTAACACATTTTCTGGTCTCATATCGCTGCATCTTTTAGAATTTTTTATTTTGGGAACTGGTGTTATTGTAGAGCATTTCAAATTTTCAGGAAAAGAACTGCTTCTCAGTGAACAATTGATCCAATTTAATACAGGATATCCCAAAATTTCGAAACAGTTTTTCAGCACGTTTTTAGTAGTGATTTCGGCACAGTTGTTAATTGATTTTAAACTGTTTACTTTTTTTCTTCGATAATTCAATGATACGCTGTGAAATTTTGAAAGTGTATGCAACATTTCCCCCTGGAAACTGATTTTCATATAGTCAGGTGCAGCATTGGCAGTACCCACAATATCAACAATACTTTCCACAAAATTCAAATTCTAAAGTTTTATGATTAATTAAACTATTACATTCTAAAATAATATGTGTCGCATAATGTATGAAAGAAGTACCTTTACAGTCTCTTATCTTTGTTAGTTGATTAGAATCAATTACATTATTATTTTTATTTAATTCTAATATTCTCGTGTACTTTGTTACGCTTTCAGACTCACACATATCGAACCTCTGTGGTTGCAGGGAGACTGGAAAGTACTTTTACAAACATACAGTTGATTACTTAGTTTAATAATGTCAGAACAAGAATAATTCTATTTCGAAAAAGAACATCACGAGCCTCGACCCATGAAGTGGCACCGTGATTTCTGACCTTTTCGAGAGCTTGACCTCGAATTTTTAACATGACCAATTCGACAGCAGGCTCTTCGAATTCTGTGTTTTGGAATTTTGAAATGAACAACTCACTTTCTCGGATAAAGGTAGACAAATTATTTTGGTTAGGAGAACATTTTGGCAGAGAGTATTTAAGACTCCTGAATCGTAGTTCAAGCATTCTGTAACGTTCATTACCATTTGGTTGTGCCATTGTGGTTTCAGAATTTTAAATATTTTGGTCAAGAGAAGAATCAGTAGAACTAGAACTTGAACGTGGATAAGTGTAAGGGGAGTATGAACTCTCTTTAGTAAATCGTCTAACAAGAGGCATAAAAATACAATCTTAAATACTAACAAGCAAAAATGTAGCAAAAATCAAATAACTCGTCTTGTTCTCCAAATGGTATCTCTTCTATGTACAATATCAATTAATAGCAATATCTCCTTATATATTTTTTCTTCAATTTCTTCAATAAAAATCTTCTTACTTCTTAATACACTTTTTAAATCTACTTACAATGACGTGATCAGCATCGATGTCGCCAAGGGACCCATTCGTCCTGTTTTCTGGCTGTTCTGGATGCAAAAGTTTTCTCCAAAAGGTACTGGAACTGGTGTGGGGTTACCGGCCACTAGGATAAACTTGGAACTTGAGAGGTCTTACCGGCCTCGGAACTCGTTCCCAGGTTTCAGTAGCGATACCCAATTGCAAAAGTTTGAAAACGTTTACCTTCTAAGTTCAGCTGCTTTCTCAGTGAATCTTCTTGATTTCTGACCAAGTTACACTACTTGATGTAGGCTGAGCATCCTGTTCGCAGCGCCAATTAAATACGTGTGGATCGTGGGTGCTTGATTGCACTAAGGAATTATCACTCGCGTTCCTATTTCTCTTATAATTTCCAAAGGATGTTAGAGAAATACTTCAGTAACTTTTGTAGAGTAGCTTTTATTCAGGCATCAGTAACAGTTGAGAACAGAAGAACAAGTAACGAAATGAGTACAGAGAATAGTCAAAGACCCTTTTTATATTCTAGGATTAGAGTTACGAATTTTCCAGAAATCAGTAGTGTCGGGAAAAATGCAAGCATCTTCACATCCTGTCTCTCGAGTATGGGACGGTGTTATACTCGTAGGGACTTTCATGGTGTTAATGCTTTAAGGTAATGGCATCAGGATACCATAACTTATACAAATATGCGGCCGATCAATGTCTTCGCAGATGTCGATAACCTGTACGAAAAGATTGTATACGAACAAATCATTGAATATTTTGAAAAAATACAAGATTTTGACAAAATACCAAGCTGGATTTAGAAAAAAATATTCCATAGAAACAGCAATCCAAATGGTAGTGGTAGACTGAAGGAGAAGTATAGATGAGAAAGTATGTATGAATTTGAATTTGTATACATCAAAAGGGAATTTTAGACTATAGATAGTGAAACATTGGTAATAAAATTATATCACTATGGTTTTGAACCATTTTACAAAATTATTTAGTAAATAGAAGTGAAATAATCAAAATTGCAAATATGCCGCGCGTTCAAAATATATCAGTAGGAGTACCACAGCGAAGTAAATTAGGACCGTTACTATTCATTCTATAGTCAACGCCACACAAAGTGGCGTGCACGTCATCACGATAAAAATTCCCCGACCTAATGCCTAGGTTTCTATCACAAACAATTGCTCTATTACAGTTTCATATTAATGTGATATATAAATTGTAAAATGGTCATTACTCTCTTATTATGGTTAATAGTCATATAAACATTGTTATTAAAATATCACATAAGTTGCTTTCTGATAAATTTAGACGCATTATGCGAAATAAAATGTTTTGCAAACGCTCCAATCACTTATCGACATGTAAACGCACTAAACCGATTTCGCAGCGTTGACACATTGTCACCTTGAAG